TTTCTTGTCGTTTCACCTTGTTCTTATTATACTTTATTTGTTTTTCACCGTTTATTTATTGTATTGGAAAAGCAAAATACAAGGTTCTAAAAAAATAATTTTAAAGAAATATATTATAATTATAAACGAGGCATTAAAACAGAAATAGTAATTTTATAATATCAAAAATAAATTTATAGTTAAAGATAAAATTTGCATATCATGAAAAAACATAATACTGAAATCTCTGAAATATATGGATGAAAAAAAGATGTTGTGTGTTCAGTTGTTTCCAAAGTTTACATCCGCGTTTCCAATATAATTTTATCAATATTTTTATCGAGAAAGTGGGAAAAAATGAGAGTTAATAAAAACCAATATTTATATACGAAGTAAAACTGATAGATAAAAAATTGATCACATGTAGATATAAAGTATAACGCAATAAAATATTTTTGAAAGAAAAAATATATCGGTCATAAATTTATTTGTAAATTATTCTAAAAATTCCAATAACACGAGCGGAATATGTAAAATAGTTACAGAATAGTTTAACAAATCAAATAAAATATCTCTTTATTATATACAAATTAAATCTCGCTTAATTAATCAGATTAAATTTACATGAACTAAAAAATGTTCAGAAAATTAAATCAAATGTATATGTAAACCTATGTTTATGTAAACCTATGTATTAATGTATATGTAAACCTATGTATTAATTATCATTGTTGATGTATATAATTAAGAGTGTATAAAATTATATTATAATCATTTTTTTGTTCTAATTGTTTAAAAAATGCATTATACATTAATATCCATTTATTAATATATATTTCATAAAATGTTTAAAATTTTCATAAAGAATCAATATACTGTGTTACAGAATATTAAATATAAATACTAACAAAAAAATTCATGAATATGGCACATGAAAGACACGCTGAAACGTTCATCCTTTCAAAAAATTTTTGTTATTTACATTGCATAACGAATGCAATTCACTTTACATGCGAGCACATTAAAAGCAAGAATATTCTGTATACAATATTATACATCTACCCTATTACTAAGCTTCTTTGAATACGAACAAATTGTGATTTGCATCATGCATGTATGAAATGACCGAAAAGTTATAGATGAAAGACATGTCGAAATAACGCGCAACCTATTACAAATAAATGTTCATCAAATATTTAAATGAATCTGCATTTCTATGTTTTATATATCGTAAAGAATGTTTAATTGTGAGTTGCAATTAATCGTTGGACGACGTGTCTGTGATCGTGTTCTCGTTAAAACCAAGTTTTAATTTATCGATGACATTGCTCGTGAAAAATCAACAAGCGTTATTTCACTGTTTTATTCTGGGAACAAGCGTATGCGTTTCTCTTGAAATAGTGGTACGGATTTAACCATAGGTAACCACTAGGAAGTTGTATTTCAGTATCCGATGAATGAATGCAGTTCTGCAGCAATCAAATTTTTTTGCACGTCCTATGAACTCTCCGCGTATCGCGTATTTGATGGAGATTCAAACCAATCCGTTTAAGATATACAAACAATCTTCTATATATCCTATAAATCTTAGAATATTTACGGATTAATGATCAAAACATGTGTGTATTTTAGGAATTTAATTTGTTGTAAAATATATATTATAATCTTTCAAAATTAATATATCTAAAATGATTTTACATATATTACATGAATCCAATTTCCTAGATATAGATATGTAATCACGAGCAATGTGATGAATAATTGTGGAATTTATGTCATATTTGAATTATAACTGTATAATTATTGGTATAATCAATTATTGAAAGATTACGTACACACAAACAATTATTATCGTTTATAATATTCGTTATCATAACTAATATAAAAATTAGAAGTGCATTGAAGTGCACAAGTGTAAATGATGTATCGGTTATTTCTCGGTAATATTTCCGAGTATTTTTTAAAGTACGAGAAAGAAATACTGTAGCAAAAATCTATTTGCAAGAAACAATCTCACCAAGGCACGTGAGGTCTTCTCCTGGTTTCTAAGAATACTTAACAAGTCCTACATTTAACCAACTTTAAACTTTATTTTCAAACTAAAATTAATATTACAGTCAGGTTGCTTATAAAATTACATGATGTAAAATAATTAAATTATGAAATTTATTTTTATAGCACTTATATTCTTGTTTATGACAATGCTACTATATGAAATGACGCAAATTTTAAGTTGTAAATTGAAAAAGTTGCAAAATAAAATGAATATAATTTATAATTTTCTTCCTTAATTTTCAAATATCGTATGTTGATGCAACTAAATAACAAACTAGACTACATAAACATCTTACATAAATAATATGTAATTATGCGATGGCTTTCTTTAATTATTTAGATTTCAAAGTCAACAATCTGCAGTTAATGGTACAAATCAATCATTTATTCATTTTCGACGAATACGGTAATGCAAACAACACGTTCAACAAACATTGCATATTACATTTGTCAGCCGAAGTTGAGGTGTTCGCAACATGCATATATTGACCTTTTCATACTAAACTGAACAAATATCCATCAATATACAAAGTATTTTTAGGAAATTTATTTCTAGAAAATTTTGAAAAATAAAAAATTAATTGTTTGTTTGATGAAATCGATTCTTTTCTCCAAGAAATGAGAAAATCATATTTCTAGTCATTTTATTAAATCTCTAGGCAACATTCGCCAGAATAAATTTTGTTAAAATATATTATATTTCTGTTACATATACATACTAATATAAAAATTAAATGTATTCAAATAGTATTTATCTTTCGTTTGTGATTTATCGAATAAGCAAAAGAATTTTTAAATCTCAGATTCTATATCCTGACTTCGAGATAGACGATAAAGCACACTTGCCGTAAAAAGGTGCATATGGAATGTTTGGAGAGATTGAAAAATGAGAAATATTCAATAAATTACCAATAACACGGATGACAGTTTCGCCATGTTGTAGGAATGATGAAACGCCCCCCGATCAATTGAATTGATAATTCACGATGACAAACCGACCGCCGTTTTTCCGTACAGAAATACTAACATCTGAGAAATTGTACTGCACTTGCGTCATCGATCATACTGCGATCGACGACATGAATAATAACGTCTATTCCTCTGCGCTTTGGATTATGCCTTCCCAAAGGAACCGCCGAATTCAATGTGGTCATGTCGTGACCAGTAAGGCTTTCTCTGCTTTCTCTATCTCAAAGGACGTAAGGACTTGTCGCGTAGGATTGTACTATTTTGATCTCTCCATTGAGATTATCCTTTGATCCTTTGATTACATCATCGCTACTCAAACTCTCCTTGCGAAAATATTATTACGTGAAGAATTTAGAGCAAGAACGAACTGAGTTTTTCGTAGGATTTATCATATATATATATATATATATATATATATATATATGTATATGTATATATGATATATATGAATATATAATATATATGATATATATGAATATATATATCATATATATGCCAGAAAAAATAATGAATTATTTGAACTTTCTGTCATAATTAAATTTAATTTACAATGTTAGTATGATTTATGAGACAAAAGATTCTAAAACCAAAATAAAATAAGCTCATAATTTATAAAATTTATATTAGATATGACTTTAAAGTAAATCCTACGAGAAACTTAGTTCGTTCTTGCTCTAAATTCTTCACGTAATAATATTTCCGCAAGGAGAGTTTGAATAGTGATGATGTAATGAAATTTATATATATATAAATTTAATTTATAATTTACTATATATATATATATATATATATATATATATATATACTGCCAGAAAAAAAATATATATATACATATAGGAGATTGTTAAAAGTATTTGTTTGAAGATAATAGATCCTTTAATAAAACTAAATAACGACAGAAATATACAGCAGAATATTTTCAGAATATTTAGCGAAGGTCGAAATAGCTACGTTTAATTCGAATGAATTTTCTCGTGTTTGCAATTTTAGTTATTTTGCATGCAATGAAATGCATTAACTATGTAGATTGCAAGTCGCGCATAAAATGCATTTCTTCTATGAACATGGAGAACAAAATTGATATGCGTGTTAATATTCAGCGCGTTACCTGCCCGCCTCGATCAAACTTCTCGTAAGCAAAGGGACTAAACACAGCTGCATCGTTTGCCGATTAATCAATGTCATAGTTTTATTCTGACGTAGGAATATTTAATTTTTCGTATGAGTGTACATAAATAATCAGACATATTTCTTATGGCGCAGAAGAAAAATTTACGTGGATGAAAATTTGTTCTATGAAAGTATTTTTTGATACAATTTAGTTTAAACTTTGTGAGAGATAATTTGGAAAAATATAATAGGATTATAGAATTATAATCAATGTCACGATGATTCAATTTTTATTACTTTAATTTTATTTTAGTAATGTTATTTTAATTTTATGATTCTCAACTTTCGAAATTTTGTTTTTAGAAGAATTTTGTTACTTATAAAAAAAATTTTATAGTTAAAAAGATAGAGTAAAAAATTTTTTTATTAAATTAAATGTAAATTTTTATATTAAATTATAATAAATGGTGCGAAATATTATACATGAAGTATGTCGGATAATGCTTCCATAAATTTTTTTCTGACACTGTAGGAAATATATCCGACTCTATCTATATACATTCGTTCGAAAAATTAATGAACTATTTTTTAAATGTATTATCCTTTAATTTAAAAAGATGCTATATTTTATTTATTAATTTAATCTATTATATTTAACTAAGATATTCCATGTTTTAAATAAACTTATATTTCTTACAAACTTATATCTTTTGATAACATTAAATCTCTTTAGAGAAATTCTACATGAATAAATAAATAACATAAAACAGCATTTATTATGTATACAGCGTTGAAAAACAAATTAGCCATTTCGTCATCAATTCCCCATTAAAGATTTTATATTAAATTTTACTTATGGGATAAAAGTTTCTGTTTTTATTTTTCAGAAAGTACCAGTCATCAAGCTTGGAAGATATGGTCATGTTGTTTCCATCATCTTAATCAAACGGTTGTCGATCAGATAAATCAAAAACAGAGAAGATGTTTGCAAGAATAATGCGTTTATCGTAAATTCTGTAGAATATAATTGCGCATATTTATGTAAACTGTGATGTAATTAAGGATAATATTATGAGCATTAGATAAAAGCATGCATGTATCAAGCTATCGAGCGATAGGCTCTAGAGTAAAGCGCATAAAAAATGCAAATATTATAAATGCGTTTTGATCAATGGCCTGTTCATGATGTATTTACTGTCAATCATAATAAATGGCGCATGTGTGACACACACACACACACACACACACACACACACACACACACACACACAATTAAAGTCTTAAATCGTCATTTACTTACTATTCCAATTTTTGATTTCTTATATTATTCTCTACAAAATTATTTTAATATGACAATAACAATACAAATTCTTTTGTAAAATCTATTTAAAAATATATATATAATATTTGCTTGCGTTTTCGTATATAGTTATTAAAATATAATATTTATAATATTGTGTTTTCTCATATAATATATATAATGTAATCTTTATATAATTATTTATTTATTGCTTCGAAAAAAATGTCGCCAAACTGCGTAAGATTTATGATATTCCACAATATCGATTCGTATCTTTTTTGTCCAATAAAAATAATGTTTTACTTTGTTGTTTCATATATAATATAAAACGCAATATGATGACCGAGCATTGCAGCATTTCGAATGTGTCATTAAAATCGATAGATTCGGCTATTACAACTTTTTCATCGCTTCCAGACTACACAACTTTGCAATTTATTTCCGAAGTTCCTTCTATTCTCGTTTATGATTGCGGCATCAATATTATCGATTCCAACCGATGACAATAAATGATAACGATATCAAATTAAATCGAATCGTATAAATATATGACCGAAAATATATGGCTTGAAATTGTGTTAAAAAAGAATAGATATTTCAATGCAAAAAAGTCTGGAAGGAAGAGAATAAGAAAAATTACACACTGTGTACCGGGAGACTGGCAGGATATTAAATCTTTATGCGCTACAGAAATCAGTTAATAGAAAACTGAATATCTCAATCTCTTTGTCGAGAAAGCTAAAATTGATTTGGTTGCCAACGCGAGAGAAAACGGCCCTGCTCGGTCCAAAGCGAGGTCAACATACTTTGAGAAACCACGGTAGAAATGCGTCCTTTCATGCACATAATGCATTCTCGGAACAGTATAATGATTGCCGAGAGGTCGAGCTTTTTGTGAGATTGAACTGCAATTAAATTTAATAATGTCTTTCTATTAATACTATTAATATTAATATATAATTAATTCTATTAATATTATATATAATTGTTATATATATATTCCATTTAATTATTACATACATGTATATTCTATTCTATATGTGTGAAATATTATTTTTTTAAATATGTTTATTCTTGTGTAAATTTGTTGATTCTGTAAGACTTGGATTTTTTTTATAGTAGAAACATTTTTAAATTACATAGAAAAATATATGGAAAATTTGTACCAGATTTTATATTGATTTTATGCGAACAAACTTACGAATGAGAGAGATGTAGGTACACAATTAAAATATTCCAATAATATCTGGAGAAAATTTTATTTTATTTTTCGAATTATATTCAAATAAATTTTAATGATTTATAATATTTAGTAATATATTTTTTATCTGACAAGAAAAGAATGGTAAAATTTGTACATATATTGTACATGCATATAATTATTATACACAGAGTGGAAAGTTTTAAATGAATACTCTGTATATGTATATTATTATGCATAATATAATTATATAATCCCGTTTATTTCGTGATTATTTTTTGCAAAAAATGCCAAAAGATGTCAATTTTGTTTTCGAGGAGGACATTTAAGTATATTAAATTCAACGAAATTTTTTTCATTCTCTTTGTCAAGGTAGATATCTTTTTAAAAATCTGAAATGGCAATAGGACAGGTATATCATTAGGTTGGTATATCATTTTAAAGATTTTTTTAATTCTCTGTATAACTCTCTTTTTTTATTTAAATGAATATTTTTCGCGAAATTGCACTGGAAGTTTTAGATGTCAAAAAAGTTGTACAGAGAATCAAAAGACCTTTAAAATGATATACCACTTGACCTCTATTGCCATTTAAGAAAGAGCTGACTCCAACAAAGAGGATGAAAAAATTTTGTTGCATTTAATGTATTTAAATGTCCCCCTTGAAAACAAAATTGATGTCTTTTGGCATTTTTCGCAAAAAATAATCATGAAATAAATGAGTGGAAAGCTTTAAAATGAACATTTTGTATGTATGTATTATGTGTGTACAATGCCATTATTATTGGTTTAAAAAGAATCAATTAAAAAATAAATATCAAATTACTGCAAACCAATAATTTTCAGCGTTATAACTTTAAAGCAAATAAAAGCATATTTATCTATAGAATAGAAAAATAAACAATGACAAAATTGTTAAAATAGAAATTATCGTTCGCACTATTGGAATTGCTTCTACAGAATCAAATATATAAATTCCTGTGAAAAGCTCTCTTTATTTTTTTAGTATTTAAAAATAAAGTAGAAAAATCTTTTGCTTTCGAAAGATTAATATGACATCCGCATGTGATGCACTTTGATCAAAGGAGATATAAATTTAATATCTTTAAAACATCTTCGTGTATGTTGCCAAGCTCACCGAAGTAAACAAGAAAAAGAATTTTTTTGATCGCGTGTCAACATTCCATTTAATTTGATCTTGCATTAAATATTTAAGAAAGTTCGAAAGTTCGAAAACATATTTCTGGAATATATCAATTTAAAAGAAAGAATTCAGAGAAAGAACTTATCAATAGAGTAATCTTTTATTTAGAGAGATCTCGAAATCTTGTTACATATTTAATTTCAAGTAAATTTTACTGAGATTTATTATTAAAAAATTAGAATATAGCGCTATAAAAATCTTTGTTGTTAAAAAATTGAAAATGTAGTAACTAATAAATTCATAAAATCTTTCTAAAAAAAAATGAAAAATATCCACCAAGTACACAAAACGTATCCATTTATATGCAAGGAATAGAAGTTACAAAAATAAGAAATTATACATAAATTATATTTTATCTTTACTTGGCGTACTTTTACCATAAATAAAAATTTGTTTGACTCACCAATATGCAACAGCGGAGTTATTTATGAAACGTTAATCTGGAACATACAAATATAAAATTCAAATTATTGTAATGTTTAATACGATTAATATTTCAATAAATTATTATCGTATCAAATCCAATCCAATAAAATTCAATAAACAAAGATATTTATTAAAATAATTATATATAATTTTTTAATAAATTATTTTTTTCTTAAATATAAATTTGTATAAGATTTAAGAATCTTTTTCTTTAATTGTTGATTAAATCATACAAATAAACGAACCAAATAAATAGGAATGTACTTGCACAATTCATATTTTGTATATACATTGATATATAAATAATAAATTACTCACCCCAAGTTGCTTTGCTGTTGTCCGATGCTTTCTAGGCCTTCTCCTTTTTATAGACCTTTTAGCTCCGTTTTCATGCTTTTTTCAGGTCTCCTTCTTTTCAGGTTTCTTTTGTCCTCCTTTTTGCATTTTTATTACACTTGAGGACTGCATTTATTTGCAAAAATATAGTTAACAATTATATTAATATCGCGCGTGAAACATCTGACACATAAAATAAATGCATGAAAATTTTGCACTGCAAACTTTCGAATTAATTAATTAACACTGGAAGAATTATTCGCGTTGTGAAAACTGATGCGCGACACTTTGTCTGGTAGTCTTTGGGCGCACGACACTTTCCACGGCACTCCCGAACTAATTAAAACGCGTCGAAACATCTGCGACACAATGACAAACGGATGCATTATTCAATCGAATACGCTAGCCACATATGAGTTATTTAATGAATTATTGACTCATCGCTGTATTTCGGGTACTTAGTTTTCTCTTCAAGATAAACTTTCCAGGTACTGAGCTCTCTCACCGATGTCAAAGTGTATCTGAAAGAAAGGTCATATAAGTCTATAAAGTTTATTAAGTATTATATAAATTTGCATTATAATATAATTACAATTTACTTTATAATTAAGATTATACCTATATTGTATTCTTTTTCACCAATAAAAAATAATAAATAATAGAAAAATATGACTGATTATTAATCTCGATACGAGATATTTGAATACAAAAATATATACTACATAAGAAATGTATGAAGCATTAAGAACATAATTATTACTGATAAATATATCATAAAAGAATGGTAATTTAAAATTTCCATCGTTTTAATTTATATTTTGAATAAAGAAACTGCGCAAAATACATATTTGTTTGCATATAGATTGTAATCTTAATATGTTTACAAATCTTCAATGAAGAATCTTAATTGATAATCATTTGCAGAGAATGATTGTATTTCGAGAAAATACACACGGAGTAAATTGAAAACGTGACAATTAATGATCTACTCGTCAAAAAATCTGCTATTAAATTTAATGTTATTTTGGGAAACTTTGGCATATTTAATATTATTTTATGAGAATATGAAATACCCTGTTCCTTCAGCGACATTATATATTCTGCAACCGAATCGCGTTTTTTTTTTAAGTCTAAAAGAAATTGTATTATCTTTTCCCAGGAGACTTCCTATGTTATGATGAGGATTAATTTAACAGTCGCGTTACAAAAATGAACCCAAATCAGTCATGTAACGTTCGTCCATATTATCTTATCGCATTTCCCCGTGAGATGTGAAGGATATACGGGGAGGACATTTAAACCGTCTGTGAAATGAGATGGAAATTACAATGGCGAGTGACGAAAGTACGAACTCAGAATGGAGAAAATGTAAATGAAGAGGATAGACCGGCGGAAGTTTCATCTTGAAAAACGGGTCACACTTTTCTGCGGAACCACTATACTGGCATAGCACGGATGAAAAAACAAAAACGAGACGATTATTAATGAGAACGTTAAGCTAGCTACGGCCGATATATTATGTACTGTGGTAGGCAATAGTCGTTTGTACCAATAAGCGACAGAAATTGACCTTCTTAATTATTGTCGCTTTTTCCTAGTTACACCCGATGAATGATATCAGTAAAAATTCTATACTTGAAATACTGGTAACAGGATTCTACAAAAATTATTTGCAATAACATTTCTCTCTAGACATCAATAATTTTTCCAAAATTAAATTAAAATAAAAATAATTATTAATTGTAATCGTAAAATTATAAATATATATTTCTCAATATGATCAATATATAATACAATAATATAATATAATAATATGGTGTGTATGTATATATGTAAATAAATATAGATAAGAAAAAAA